TTATAATTAATGTATAATTCAAATGAAAATAATTATTTCAGTAATCGTAATTAAATAAATATATAACTGATTTTTTTAATCATTTATTTAAATACATTATTGTTTTTACAATTATTTAATCAAACATATAATGAATGAATAATTATAAAACTAAATATATAATTATTATTAAAAAAAATTCAGTTCATGCATAAATTCTTGACAGCAGAATATAAATTATTTCAAATAATACATTTTGTATACATATGAATATGTCTAGCTATATAAAACAATATTTTTTTCTATAACGCTAGACATAGGATGTTATTAAATTTTAATAGACATTTATGGGTAACACATGCTAGACAAATCTATACTAAATATTTATAAAAAAAATTTATACTTTGCACTTACATGACAAACTTTAAACTTTTTATAACAAAATTTTTGAAGAAAAAAATTCTTACATAAGACCTTGAACTTTTTTTTAGACCACTTTATTTTTTCATCCCTTTTTTTTTGGGAAGATTATAAAAATTATATATTATGCTGAAAACAGTTTTAGTATTTACAACAAAAGAAAATATTTCCTTTAACACTTTCGCACATACTTACTAACAGGAAGGAGAAAAAATAAATAAAAAAATAACATAAAAGAGAAGGAAATTATTTATTGATTTGTTTTCTTTATATATATTTTTTTTGGCTTATTTATACACAAAATATGGAATTCATATGTGTTATTTTTTTCGATATAAGAATGTGTTCATTTTATATGTAAAAGTATGTTCACACGTTGGCAAATATTTAATAATAAAAATATATATATACCAAATTGCAAAAAAGTATAACGAACGGTTTTAGCCTTGAATAAGGAAAAAAGCAAACAGTTTGGTCTACTGTAATAGAACTGATGAAATTTTAAAAATTTACTTCATTAAAGTGGAGTTTAGGTGATGTTTGTAAAACCCAAAATAATGGTCTTATTAATAGTTCTGAGTCTTCTTCTGAAGTTAAATATGTATTCATCTGTATGTATTCACGATGATATGCGGATGATATAGCTGTGTATGTACTTACATATAGTTCAGAGCTCAAAGTGCATATGAATATTTCGTATCGTTTAGAAGCTCTGAACACTATATTGCACATTCTCCCTATTAACCTTCATACTGTAGATTTAGATACTACCAGCACATTATTGGTAACAATGTGGCGAGGCTATGAAGATTCTGCAAAATGCATGATGAAACCTCTGACCATGTACTTTGTGACTGTCAGCCATTATGGTATATCAGAGTGAGTATTCTGGGAGGCGCTTTTCTATCGCTTAATGAAATATTCAATCTCTCACCGTCTAGAACAGTAAGATTCATAGTGAATCAAAATGTCTGCACAAAAGATCTTAACTTTGGTCGTAGTGCTTGGTGCCTTCTTAATCAATCAACCTTCATTTAATATTAAGAACGCAAAGATTTTAAGGCTACACTTGAACCAACCAGCCGACAAGAATACTCCACCCACAGATTTTGATAAGGTTTTCAGAGTTCCTTCTATCTTTCAAGGCTAGGTCGTCTATCTAACAGTATTCTAGTTTGGGTCTCTGCGCATAGAGACTACTATAGTCAGAAAAGGCAAAAGATCTATCCAGAATATTATATGCTTTGGATATCTCCAACGCAGTTTTAGTAAAACCTTTGGGAATTATTAACAGTAGTATCATCTGGTTCTTTCTTCAAGAGTCTGGACACATGTAAAGGGGTTAAGATAATGTGGTTCTCTTTTAACGAAAAATTCACTAGGCAACTTTTGGCCCGAAGTTGCAAGTAAGAATAGGGATAGGTTTTCCCCAATCTCTGCTAATACCCTACCCTAGTCGTCAAGAGCGCGTCATCTGACGTATGGTGTGACCTTCTCAAATAGTGCTTACGATTCTATTTGACTATTTGCGAAGTAAAATACCATATAAACCAACCAACTATACCTATTTATTTTCCAGCACTGTAAAACAATTCGTATGTTTTTTTACTCTTCATATTTTCATATATAAATTTTTTGGTAAGGATTATATGCCACAAAAATGGTGAATATTTTTGCGTGGTAAGAAATCTATATTTCATTTTTGCATGCTGAAACATATATGATTATACACTAGTATGTTATACATATGTATTAGGGCTGTAACCCAAATTTGACCTAAATAACTTGCAAAAAACGTAATTTTTAAAACTGTTTGCAATCAAATGTTAAAACAATAAATTCGCTACAAGAATTACAACCCAGTTTCTTATTTCCCAAATATATATACATAATGGTTATACCCCTAACGTAGTCATGTATAACATGTATACAAAAACAAATGAAATACCAACACATATTTATATACTATGGCAAACACATATTTATATACTTTTTCGGCAAAAATGTTGACTATTTATCCCACATAGTTATAACTGCCATAAATGCTTGTGCCATTTAAAGTATTTTATGGTACACTAAATACATATATACATATTTCAGAAAATGGTTTAATAATGAAAAACGATATACGAATTTTTAAATATGTTAAGGAAATAAAATTGCCTTTAGCCCTTCAAATTTTAATCGTTAAAGGTTGTAAATTTTAGTTTTCGTGAATAATGTTACAGCAATTGATTTTTAATTGATAGCTTTTTAACAATTTATATATGTTCATCAGTCCGGATGTTTGATGGAGATTTTTGAATTTGGTATATGTTTTTCAAAACATGTACACATTTACCTTTTGGCTTAAATATTCATTAATTTTGTTGTTGTACATATTCTCATCCCTTTTATTAATAACATATTGCAATTTGTTGATCATACGTAATGTATGCATAATATATTTACTGCTAAATAGTAGAGTATAAGTAGTCATTGAGGCCAATAGGCAAGAATACGTACATACGTTGCGTATGATTAATATCAAATGGAAAAAATTCCTACTCCAACCATTGGATTTATTAGAAACACCGGTTAGTTAGTTAGTTAGTTAGTTAGTTAGTTAGTTAGTTAGTTAGTTAGTTAGTTAGTTAGTTAGTTAGTGTTAGTTAGTTAGTTAGTTAGTTGTTAGTTTAGTTAGTTAGTTAGTTAGTTAGTTAGTTAGTTAGTTAGTTAGTTAGTTAGTTAGTTAGTTAGTTAGTTAGTTAGTTAGTTTAGTTAGTTAGTTAGGTAGTTAGTTAGTTATTTAGTTAGTTAGTTAGTTAGTTAGTTAGTAGTGTTAGTTAGTTAGTTAGTTATTTCGTAGTTAGTTAGTTGGTAGTTAGTAGTTAGTTAGTTAGTTAGTTAGTAGTTAGTAGTTAGTTAGTTAGTAGTTGTAGTTAGTTAGTAGTTAGTTAGTAGTTAGTTAGTTAGTTAGTTAGTTAGTTAGTTAGTTAGTTAGTTAGTTAGTTAGTTAGTTAGTTAGTTAGTATTAGTTAGTTAGTTAGTTAGTTAGTAGTAGTTAGTTAGTTAGTTAGTTAGTTTAGTTAGTAGTTAGTTAGTTCGTTAGTTAGTAGTTAGTGTAGTAGTTAGTTAGTTAGTTAGTTAGTAGTTAGTTAGTTAGTTAGGTTAGTTAGTTAGTTAGTAGTTAGTTAGTTCGTTTAGTTAGTTAGTTAGTTAGTTAGTTAGTGTAGTTAGTTAGTTAGTTAGTTAGTTAGTTAGTTAGTTAGTTAGTTAGTTAGTAGTTAGTTAGTTAGTTAGTTAGTTAGGTTAGTTAGTTAGTGTTAGTTAGTTAGTAGTTAGTTAGTTAGTAGTTAGTTAGTTAGTTAGTTAGTTAGTTAGTGAGTTAGTTAGTTAGTAGTTAGTTAGTTAGTAGTTAGTTAGTTTAGTTAGTTAGTTAGTTAAGTTAGTTAGTTAGTTAGTTAGTTAGTTAGTTAGTTAGTTAGTTAGTTAGTTAGTTAGTTAGTTAGTTAGTTAGTTAGTTAGTTAGTTGTTAGTTAGTTAGTTAGTTAGTTAGTTAGTTAGTTAGTTAGTTAGTTAGTTAGTTAGTTAGTTAGTTAGTAGTTAGTTAGTTAGTTAGTAGTTAGTTAGTTAGTTAGTTAGTTAGTTAGTTAGTAGTTAGTTAGTTAGTTAGTTAGTTAGTAGTTAGTAGTTAGTTAGTTAGTTAGTTAGTTAGTTAGTTAGTTAGTTAGTATTAGTTAGTTAGTTAGTTAGTTAGTTAGTTAGTTAGTTAGTTAGTAGTTAGTTAGTTAGTTAGTTACGTATATACATCAACTCTGAAGGAGCTGATCGCTCCTTACCAGTGCTCCCTGTGGGATTTCGAATTCGAATGATTTTATTATAGAACCTGAAATTCTACTTATTCCAGTTGTATACTAAATGAGCGTTATATATTCACATAAGAATATCCCAAACTTTAAATACTATAAAAACAAACTCATAAGTCGCAATGGAAAAAAATATTCAGTCGTACATTGATAAAGTAGATAATACTGGTGCTGATGGTGGTATTATGGTCACATGGTTTATTGGTTTAGTTTCTTTTGTTCTTTTGTACTGGCGTCATTGCAATGATAAATTGTTCATGACATAAAAACAACAATAAGAATAAAAAAACAAAGAGAAACCGAAAGATAGAGTTAAGAATTATGATAAAGTTAATATCACTAGAAAAATACAGTAGTGGTAGTGGATATTTACCACATAAGCAAGTACTATAGTTTTTGTTTTTAGAGACCGAGAAATATTAACCAAATATGTATATGAAATTTAAATAAATGTTTTGAATTTAGAAAAATGATTTGCAGTTTCAAAAGAAGAAAATATTTTTAAATTATAGAAAATTTATTGAAATAATATATAAAATTTTTAAATTAAAAATTCGATGGAACAATTTTGCTCATACAAAAAGACAATTTTCAAAATTGTGTGACTTAAAAAAACATAATTTAAAATACAAACAACTTGTTTGTATACAATAAGTACAACAAAATTATTCTGTTAAATAAATACATATTTTTTTTTTTTGCTCATAACACTTAACAATGTAATTAAATATTTATTTATTTTTCTCTTTTCAGTGCCGTGTACGTACAACTCTATGTCAATGTGCTTTTACATTTTTCTCGTATATTTTCTACAAATTTCTGAATCAATCCTTTAGGTAATTTACATACATGTTGTGTTGCCTTTTATACATTTGCTACATATGTTAACAGGTACTTTTTGCATTACATATGAAATTTTCTTGATTGCCGTCAGGCATTATTTAAGAGAAACAAAATAATTATTTTTTTATTTATATGTATAAGTATATAGGTAGTATATGTTTATTAGGTACGTTCAGATTTTATTATATAAATTTTAAAATATGTATAATGATTTCGGAAAAAGGCAATATTTGCTGAGACAAATTAGTTATGTCTGAATGAGAGCCCAAGTAAATATATTTAAAAACAATACCCTAATGTTGGTATATATACATCAAAGTGCATTGTTCTAAGAATATATTGTGAAGGATATAAGTACTTTGATAAATTGTAAAGAAATTATGTTGAATTTTAAGAGATAGTTTATAATTATATCATTGTTATTTCTATTACATAAATATAACAAAAAGCTTACTAATAAATTAATTTTAACATTTAGTTACAAAACGATTATTTTAAATTAATAGGATCAAATTAATGTCATTTAATTTCTTTAAAATTCCCGGAAATTGCTGTTTAAATTAAAGTGTTAATAAGAAGATACATTAAGGCATCAAATAAGTAATTTAATAAAAATGAAATATACAATTTAATTATATATTATTCGAGCAGTTTTACAAAGAACCTGCGTATCCTTTAAGTTTAAAGAGAAGAAATTAATTTAAAATTTAGTATTTTTCCTCACCTCATCTTTATGTCATGAAGTAAAAAATTAGGAATAAATTGTTTTATCTTATCATCTTTCTTTAAATATCCTTTTCTATATAGTACCTTTGAAAAAGTTAGTTGTCCCGACAGATGTAATAAATTGCACAATTTGTAATCATTGTGTCTGCAATATGTGATTACATCAAGGATTTCTAAATGATAGGTTAAGTAATTTCGCCTATGCCACCTCATACTGCAGGGTTTGAGCGATCCCATCCTATTTCTTTTGTTTACAAAATATGTTAACTCTTCATGACAACAACAGAAGACTAAGCTATATACATACATAAAACTTATTTACTTATAGAGTGTACTAACACTGGAATATAGTCTAGCTTTAATAATAGAATAAAGCATATCCTGGACTATGAAATACATTACAGCTTTGATTATATGATAGATCATAATCACTACTTGGAACAGAGGATGATCTAAACTGTAGAATATACGATAGCCTACACTATAGCCTACTCTATAGTATAACGTGGACTATAATCTGGACAGTAGTATGGACTATATAATATCCTACTTTGTGGACTATAGAGTAAACTGGTCATAATCTGATCAGTAGATCAGTAGAGGTGACCATAGTCTGGACTAAAGAGTAGACTGTAGTCTGGAATATAGAGCAAACAAAAGTCTGAAATATAGTCTGGACTATAGGGTAGACAATGAATAGTATAGACTATTATCTGGATTATAAAGTCGACTATAGTTTGAACTATAGAGTATTCTATTGTGTGGACTAGAGAGTATACTTTAGTGTGGACTATAGAGTAGACTATAGTCTATACAGTAGAGTAAACTATAGTCTATACTGTAGAGTGGACTATAGTCTATACTATAGAATAGACTATAGTTAATACTATAGAGTAGACTATAGTCTATAATATAGAGTAGACTATAGTCTATACTATAGAGTAGACTACAGTCAATACTATAGAGTAGACTATAGTCTATATTATATAGTAGACTATAGTCTATACTATAGAGTAGACTATAGTCTATACTATAGAGTAGACTATCGTCTATACTATAGAGTAGACTATAGTCTATACTATAGAGTAGACTATAGTCTATATTATAGAGTAGACTATAGTCTATATTATAGAGTAGACTATAGTCTATATTATAGAGTAGACTATAGTCTATACTATAGAGTATGTCTATGGTCTAGTCTTAAATATAGTCTGGACTATAGGGTAGACAATAAATAGTATAGACTATTATCTGGACTATAAGTCGACTATAGTTTGAACTATAGAGTAGGCTATAGTCTGCCTATAGAGTAGACTATAGCCTGCACTATAGAGTATTCTATTGTGTGGACTATAGAGTATACTTTAGTGTAGACTGTAGAGTAGACTATGGTCTATACTATAGAGTATACTACAGCCCATACTATAGAGTAGACTATAGTCTATACTATAGAATAGACTATAGTCTATACTATAGAATAGACTATAGTCTATACTATAGAATAGACTATAGTCTATATTATAGAATAGACTATAGTCTATACTATAGAATAGACTATAGTCTATACTATAGAATAGACTATAGTCTATACTATAGAATAGACTATAGTCTATACTATACAATAGACTATAGTCTATACTATAGAATAGACTATAGTCTATACTTTAAAGTATACTATAGTCTATACTATAGAGTGGACTATATTCTATATTATAGAGTAGACTGCAGTCTATACTATAGAGTAGACTATAGTCTATACTATAGAGTAGACTATAATCTATACTATAGAGTAGGCTAAAGTCTGGACTATAGACTAGACCATAGTCTGAACTATAAAGTAGACTAAATTCTGGCATTTAGAGTAGACAATACTCTGGACAATAAAGTAGACTATAGAGTAGACATTAGTCTGGACTATAAGTAGACTTTAGAGCACACTATAGTCTGGACTATAGAGTATACTTTATTCTGGAGTATAGAGTAGACTGTTGTCTGGACTATAAACTAGCCTGGACTGTAGAATAGAATACAATCTGGATAGGAAAATAGAACAAACTATAGTGTAGACTTATAATAAAAGCTTACAAAAAACCTAAATCATTGTTAAGTATAGTATTAAGTATATAATTTAAAAACTCATATATAAAATTATAACACTCTTAAAATAAATGAGAAAATATATACATTTAATTCTTGTTCTTTTTTTTAATGTTATTAAATTTTTAATTTCTAATTAAATGGTGGCAGTGTAATTGTTGGCATTTCTTTTGTCTTCTTGTCATCTTTAATATTCTTTTCAGTTTAGCTCTTTTTCAAAATTTTATTATAATACGTTTATCTTTTTAAATATTACCGTCTTTTTAAATATTAACAAGTCATTAAATATATTGTAGGAATTCTATGTAAAGAGACGTTCTGGTGATGTTCTAAAAATAAAAATTTCCTTATTTTTCAAGTTATTATAAACAGAATATTATTTATTTTAAGATGCTTAAAGGATTAATAAATATTTATGTGCATTTTTTGCTTGGAAATTAAATTACTATGTATAGAGATTTTTATAACTACAAAAACTAAGCTAAATTATATAATCTATTATTAGTAATAAAGGATTTTGTAATTTCTTAATGCAAATAAATAATTTTAAGATTTTTTTAAGAAATTAGCATAAGTTGTTTAGGTACAAATTTTAGATTTTTTATGATAAATAATTTTGTTTTGAAAAATTAAGATGTATACAGTTTTTCTAGCTTCAATTTTTAAATGACCTAAAAGCTTTACACAATAGCTAGAGAATTGTTGTCATTTATTTTCTTAAATAAAATCTTCGTTTTGAATAATTTAGGTTATCTTATCACAATATATGCATCAGTTTAAAATGAGAAAACCACATTTTTTAAATAATAATACTATTTATGCAAAGAAATAAAAAATTATTACATTTTGCTAAAAAAAAAAGAAAAAAGAAGTAAAATAAAACTCATATATAAACCCATTTATTTTACCACAATATTTGTATTTAAATAAAATATTTATTATATAATTTCAAATGTACTTAAATGTGTATGTATTCGTATCTGTAGCATGGTTTGTGGGTGTGTTTATATTCACTCATTTGTGGTAAAGTTTACCAACATTTGATATCATCTTACGCATATTTATTTAAATAAAATCAGAGTTTCTTAAAGCTAAATCTATTGCTAATCTGGCCATGTTATTCACGGTTATGCGATATGATGAACACTCAGAAAATTTATAATTTCTTTTATTTTTAATGGAAAAATTATTCGATAATTGAAAATTTTGTAAAATATTTATAGTTACAGAAATCTCTATATTTGTATTTTATATTAAAGTTCACGTCATACTTTTTTTCTTCAAAATTTTTATTCTTAAATCTACTTTAATAGTAACTGACATCATATCTATTTTTACAACATATTTAGTTAAATTTAACTACATTTAAAATAAGTTTAGAATCACTGCAGTAGTAAATGATACAGGGTTTAAATATGAATATGAAAAGGTCTCATTCTTTTTGATCACAAAAAATACAACGTACGTTAACATTTTAAATATACACTTTTAACAGAACACAGTTCAGCTTTAGTAACATTATATTCATTATAGTATACGATACACTGAATATTAACTGTTTCTATAACATAATGCTGTTCAGTTAAAAGTTAACAAAAAAGAAAAAAAAAACTACAAATACATGATAATATTTGGTTGTCTATATTATAAGCTTGCTGCAAATATCTGTATGTCTCCATATAAAGTGTATGTATCTAAATATTTACATATACAAAAATATCTATTATGCACACGTCAGCCATAACGATTATGTTAATATATTTTTTATGAGTGCAGCTTATTTTAACCATTAACTAAATTTTTTGTTTGCAAACTAAAATTTTTATCATTCAAACTTTGTTACATCATCATCAGCAGCAACAGCATCAAAAAAGCTGTGCCGAGATATTTATACATATAGATCCCTACAGTTCGGAATACATGTTTTGAATTCGACATTTTGTGTCACATTTTTAGTTATGCTTATATCCTTTAGATCTACCTAAGTACTGCCTAAAAAGCGTACTTTATTTCTTGGTAAACTGCAGGGATTTTATATACAAATACTTCCATCTATATTATAGACATACACAAGTATAATGTGAGTTTTTTGTTTGTTTATCAAGTTTTTTATTTTTTTCGTTTAGCGTTTCATGTGATGGGAGTATTTCTATATGAGTTTCATGAGCTTTTTTACCATGAAAAATTTTATACGTATTTATGCATCGTTGTGCTCGTCTGTTTAC